CAAATCCTACGCTGCCGGCTCATACTGGCATTCCTCCCAAGAATGGAAGGAAAGGGAAACAGGAAACCACTTTCAATGCTACTGCCGTTTGGTGACACAATAGAGTAAAGCCTTTATATGTGGGAAGCACATGTATACATTTCATAAAGAATACATGCACAAATCCTACATCTTCAGACCCAAGTAGTCTCTTGTTTGCATTTCTTACTCAGAATGAAATGCATTCTCCAAGCCTCCTATATAGTGTGTGGAAACCACCTTAAAAATCCTCTTTTATTTCCAAAGTAACAGGGTTGATGGAAAATAAACCCCCAAATCCATATGTACCTCTGAAAGGAGAAAACAAGAGAGAGGGAAGTAGGATATATCTTTACTGTGTCTGCTGGCCTGGAAAATAAATACCGCTGTTGTGCAACTCTGCAGCTGCTCACTCTCTCAATTTGTTGTTTTCGTTCTGGTTTTTATGATTTAATCTCATATCCTTACAGTTAATCTGAAAAGGGTTCAGGCAGCTTTAATTATTAGTCTTCCTTCAGATCATGAGCTTACAGATCATGATCTTTTCCTATACCAAGAACGAATTCTCTCTTTGTGACAAGGCTCAACCTCAGATAGATGTACCAGGAATAAATTAACTCATAACACATGAAAATGAACATTCTCACAATATTTTCACTTTCTTTTTTTTCATTGACTCTCATGAAAAATATCCTTGAGGAAGCTTTTCTTGCACTAATATAATGCCTGAAAAATATATATTGAAAAAATTAAAGTCATCATTTTCAAATTTTGAAGAACATTTTGGATTCATAAAATACAGATTAGGGAAAATAATAATTTTTTTATACCCTCAAAAATTCACATCTACCTGAACTACATAACATCGTTTCAGATATATATTAATAGCTGTGTCATTGTAACCTTGCTTTGGGAAGATGCATGGGTCGTTTAGTGCTTTTAGAGAGCTATGTATATGTACAGAATAAAGGTTTGTGAAGCAACACCTCTGGAATGTCACAAAATATTTACCATTTAAAACACTGAGTTCATATGTGGAAAATTACTGAAATGGCTTTTCAATGGATCCTAATGAGAGCAAGAAAATAATTATTTTAAAAGGTAAGTATGGCAACACCGCATAAAGATCTAACAATTCAGGCAAAGAGAATGACAAATAAAAAAAGCTTCATAGGTTCCTTGTTTCCCAGATTTTAATTTTAGGATGTTGTACACGTTTTAATAGAACATTATAAACATGGGCTTGGAATGAAGAAACCAACTATTTCACAAGCTGATTGCCTCCTACAGAATGACTGAAAAAATGAGATTGTGTCTGCTCAAATTATTTTTCTGCTAGAAATAAAACACATATTGTATGATGAGTAGTGTAGATCTTGGAAACAATAGACTACATGAAAGATCTTGAAAAATAAAATAAAATCAGACCCCTTTGCCTAATCCAGAATTAACGTGAATCTTCAAATCAAAGAACTGCAGCTACAAATCTACCATCTGTGCTCAGCAGACCTCAGAATAGACCTTCTGAGTCTATGGATTACTTTAAATAATATTTCGCATTTCTTGGATTCACATCATTTTGCAGTTTTTAGGGAATCTGGTGTTACACTGTATCAGCATTCATACAACCTGCACATAAGGTTAAGTCTGTGAAAACCTCTACAAATGATCACAGTTCGACTGTGCTTAGCACAAAAGCTCCTTGTGGAACAAATTACATTAGTCTCACCCGAAACAATGTCAGATACACCATGGGCATTTAGTGAATCATACTTGTGTGCCTGCTGCCCCTGCCCTACCCACAGGTTTACTATAGAAAAAGCAGTAAAAGCACCATAGGCCAGATTGTAAATACTGTGGTAAAGAATTTAAACTTAGAGAGGGTAGATTTAGGCTAGATATAAGGAAGAAAATCTTTACTGTGAAGGTAGTGCAGCACAGGAACAGGTTATCCAGAAAAGCTGTGGATCGCCCCATATCTGGAAATGTTCAAGGCCAGGCTGGATGGGGCTTTGAGCAGTGGTCCAGTGGAAGCTGTCCTTGCCCATGGCAGGTGTGGGGGATCTAGGTGATTTTAAGGTTGCAGTCTAAGTCATGCTATGATTCTATTATATGAACTAGAAAGAAAAAAAAGTAATGAAAAACTGTTCTGCTCTTGTTAAGTACAACTTACTTCTGAACAGATTTTTTTTTTTTAATTTTGCTTTTTTCTGTAACAGATCCAATATAAGAAACATGCTCTTGGAGAATGTGTAATCTAAAATCATACTTTTCAGGCTTCTTCAGGCAAAAAATTATCGATCAGCCAGAGAACATCTATAAACAAGTACCTATCTCTCTGTCTAAACAGGCTGAGATCTATCAATTGCAAATGGGACTGTTGCTTACATCAAGGAAACAGAATACTAGTCTAATGGTTGAAACAATAAAAATTTAATGAAATTCATTTAATGAATTTAATGAATAATACTAATAAAGAAGACAGGAAAAAAAATATGGTGAGTACAACTCAAGGATGGAAAAACAAAAGAGCACAACCAGAAAAGACACGGTAAGGAGTGAGACAGAAAGGACATTGATGATCTTGAGATTAAAGGAGTGAATGTTGCCCTTTACTCTGTGACCAACATGTCTCTAGATGACCAAGATAAGATATATGATACTTGATTTAAGGAACTTCTAAGCAACGATTGCTGCAACACCCATGGAAGCAACAAAAAGAGTTAAAAATCTTCAACAAAAAGAATGTATTTTACCTTTCTATTCAAATCAAAACCGAAATGTATAAATTCTTAGCAATACCTTTCTTTTCACAAGTGGTTGTTGTATTTAACATTTTAAATTATTTTTTGTGTTAAAACTAATGTCCTTCTGATGAAAAATAAGACAGAAAATATAGTTCTCACTTTCTACTTACATTTCTATTTACATACTTCCATTATTGTGATTGTCCAAGGCAAGCAACAACCACTTCTAAATATTTGAGACTTTTTTGTCTATTTCATTATTATTTTGGACATTTTGAATGGCCAAGTTTTTCTCAAAGAATTCTTTCATGTAGACAAATGGTCTAACATACTAGCTAGTTGCTCAATTTCTGCAGATACCTAGTTGAATTCTGGGGTAGTCTTTCTCAGAGCTGTTGATATTCTCCTCTAAAAGCCCATTTGACCAGTAGGACTTTGAATGGACATCACAGAGGAATCTTTTTCATTAGGTCCAGAAAAAATGTCTATGTGAGGAACATTAGGGAATAAAATTATTCAGAAGACTCTCTATCCTTCATTAGCATATAATATATATAATATTCTAAGCATACTTGTATATGTTAATTAGGGAACATCAGTATTATTATCCAACTAAAACATGAAGAGGCTAATGACTGAAAAAATTATCTGAACTTAAATAATATATCAAGTAGAAGTGATCACAATGAGCAAAATAGTTCTGATTTCAGGCACAAAGCCTACATTTATCCTGTTGGAAAGTATTACTTTATACTGTCCATGTTTACTGTTTAACTGTACTTAGGGTAAATACGTATTGCATATCTCAATTATATATTTATTCATATATCACTCCCTCCATATTTCTGCATGCATATAATATAAAAACACTTTCAGAGTTAAATAGCTGCTGCTAACAAGGGTTTGGGACTTTTTTTTATTATCACCTTATCTATGATACCGATTTTCTGTCAAAATTAGTGGGAAAAAATGAACCACAAGAGAATCAGTCTGTCTCTCCTGCTCTCTCATGTCAGGTTAGGGTGCCAGCTGAGTTTTTCAGATACTGTACATGTAACTGAGGAGCACTCAGGACAACTAAGTACTGAACCCAACAGCTGAAATCAGAGCGAACAGCCATAGGCAGAAGACATTAAATAAAAGAGGTTAGATTCATTACATTCAATTTGCTCTCATATAAGACCAAAAACAGAAAATAAAATATGGGGGAATACAAGATGTGAAGAAAACCGAAAACTATTTTCCTTACACTAAATGCAAAAGATACTATATATGTCGAACTTGTTTCAAGCTCACAGAATAAATGCTGTAATGAGGTCATATCTGGGCAGCAGAGAAAAGCTGCCAGATTATACTGCTCTGGCTGCCAAATTCCAAGGCAGTTGGAGGTCCCTCACATGCGCGTGAAGATATCATTTCCATGGAAACACCTGAGCAACCGCGCTCTCATCTTTCCCTTCCCACCATATTTAAAGTTCTATGTTCATAAGCCATAAGTGTGGCTTATGAAAAAATTAAATTCATTCAGTGTAACCAGTTTTATTTTTGTGTCCCCATAAAACCTGGCCACTGAGGTTGAGAATTTTCTGGTGCCTTTTGGAATAATCACATTAAGAAAAAGGGAGGGAAGTTCCTGCTCCAGTCTCTAGCTAAATGTACATTAGCACTCATAGAGTTACAGTTTCAAACAACACAAGTAACACCAATGTAAGTCAGGGAAGGAAAAAAATATTATACTAATGACAGTAACTAATACCAAGAAACTGAGAAACCATGAAAAGACTCAAGTCATTACACAAAGATTTCACCATCCTCAATACTATGTACTGCAAGTACAACCAGAAGTCTTAATTCAGTAGTCTGAACAGATGTTGTCTTCCATTAATCTGCCTTTTTGAGTCCTATTTTGGATTTGCTGTAGTGACCACAAAAGAAATATGGTAACGTTCTGCACAGCACAGTTACTGTAATTTGACCAAGTTGTAAGCGCATGGACAAACTCTGTCACACTGCAACTGTCACATCCCCCATTTTTTCAGTGAGAAGGAATGAAGAGCACACACTGGCTATGACCATCTGAAACCAACAAAAGGCTTCTCAATGCTGCTTCAAAATACCCAGTATGTATTTTATAGGCTACGGAATAATAAGACAACAAAATTGTAAAAAATAAAATCAAATTTGTAGCATAAATTCATCAGATCTTGCCAGGATAATCATAAAATACTTTCTTACCGGTCTGACGTGTCACTCGTTACTGGATGCTTTACTGTTGAACCATTCTTAATTGAGTCTTGTCTTGTGAGCCCTTGAGATCTGTTTTTGTCCAAAGCTTGTGTGGATATGTCACCTGATGGTCCCTGGTACTGCGGATGCTCCTGCAGTTTTGCTTTTTTCTCTTGAGGCGCTTCCTCGTTCCTCAGAGCTCTACTTCCTTCTTGGTCTGGCTGCTGTGGAGCGTGTGACCCGCTGTTATAGAACCAGGCTCCTGACTTCGTGAGGATTTCCTGTTGTTTTCGGCACAAGTTACATACCCACATTACCTGTGCAGACACATTTAAATGTAAAATCCATTAGCTTGTAAACACTGTATACAATGTTTCCAGCAAGCACACATCAACTGACTGTTACCATTTCCAAAGGTAAAAAGACTACAGTTTTAATTCTATTAAAATTACAATATCTTAGCTACAATATAATAAAATATGTCTGTAGAACCTTGGAGTAACTGGTTTTGAAAAAAAATAAAAACAAAAATAATTTTAATATCTTTTTTTTATTTTTTGTAATACAAGGAAGAACAACAGATAGTAGTAATATAAATGAAAAGGTTCTAATACTGAGGTTCCAATGGTAATAAATGCAAGCTTTGAAAATTAACACTATCATCTGAGGATGAGAGAAAAATTAATTTAAAAAAATCATTGAAGTTTTAATTCATTTAATTCTCCCACGAAGAGCAAGGACCTTTACAAAAGGTCATCTGCTGTTGCAAACAAGTAATTTTATCACACTCAAAAATGCTCTCCTAATTTTCTTCCATAGTGCTCTATAGCCAGTGCTTACTTGAAGAAGCTGACTTCAAGAAGTGACTTCAATTTCATAGCAATTTTAACTTAAAGCTGTTTTTCAACTAAAATAACACAATGTATAAGGTCGTGTTTCTTTCCACTTCACACCCACAATTTTAGCTTGCACTATATGCTTACTAAATTATAAAATTATTACACCATCCCAGTTATGTGATCCTGCATATAGTAATGAGATAATTTTTAATATTCTAAAATGTACTTCTTTGCAAAGCTTTTGTATCTGATCGCCTTAGTCACATGGCAGTTCTGGAAATCAACAACACCAACTATCTGTATGTTAATTTCATAATAGCATTCAGCTATTATGTTATAGAAGAATAAATCAGAATGCAGTGAATCAAATACAACACACCTGATATGAACACATTCAAACTGATTATTGTGTTACCCTAAAATTTGGATTTTAGACAGTATTAATTCACTGTAAGTTTTTTCCTTCACTCTTTAATCTTCATTTTTCTTAAGCTTTCTTTTCTATTTCTTTCTCTTCTCTTTATATATTTTTGTCTAAGTTCACAGACACAATTTTACTAGTTTTACTATATATTCCTTGAATGTCGACACTCACCCTTCAATCTAGTTATGTCTCCAGTTCTAATCCTACAGCAAGCTGCCTTTTTTTTCAATAGTTTAGAGTTTAGGACATGCAAAGGCTTGCATCAATGCTCATCACTCTTATAAATGCAGCCAGCTCCATGGAATCACAGGGAAGATGTAGTTTCTACCTCCACCACACATCTAGCTCAGCCCTCCAGAAAAGGTTTCAGAAGTTGCAATCTGTATCTTGCTTTCATTCTTCAGGTTGTTTTCTAATAGATAATTTGGGCCATGCTCTCTAGTCAAGTCTCACTAAAAATCTTTCAGTGAGAGCTTCACGTAGAAGGTTATTTGGATGCAAGGGTGAGACTCAAACTAAAGTCACCAACTGCCTCATTCTCAAACTGTTGGGCTGGGGCAGGAAAAGGAGGTGTCACTTGCCATTTAATGGTGCTGGTATGCCCCATCCTAGTAAACTTCCTTCTTATCTTTTTATAGGGCTGCTATCATTTATGAGAACTCATGTCTGCTTACATCAACAATACAGGACAAACCACCAAAGCACTGAGGGCAAAAAAGAGAGGCTCCCCAAGAAGCAGTTTGCTCTCTGAGGTACATTTGATGTCCTTAGAGGACATTCAAAGGACAAAAGTGTGCATGCTTCAGGCCTGGACATCATTCAAATACATATTTAAGAACAGATCTGTTTTACCATTGCTAATTAAGCTAGAAAGTACATGAGAAAGCAGCAAAGTGAAATTTCAGAACCCAAGACAGAAGTATTTTCTCCCTCTTTAATCAATAGCAGTTAAAAGGCTTTAATATTTCTTCTAGGTCTGTACACAGCTGAAAGTACTTTTAAACTTTCCGTGTATGTATCAGAGCAATGAAAGGACCAGATGTGATACAATTCTGTAAGTATACAAATATATAACAACTTGAGTGACAATGAGATAAAATCCCCCAAAGTCCCCATTTGCTATTTTCACTTCTTTTAGTAGATGTTAAAATATCACAAAAGCTAGATACTACAGTAAAAACACTTGGGCAACTTTTTCCTTGGCTGACAGTCATAATTTTCTCCCCAGACAATGGAGTCCAGGATGACCAGTATTATTCTCCTGTACCCAACAGAATAAAAGTTCCCCCTGATTTCGTATGATTTCCTCTAAAAGTAAAATCAGGAAGAGTACTCCTGACCTAACCTGATTCCTGAAAATTTTATTTAGGGTATTTCAGATTGAAAAAAAAAAAAAAAATTGAACACATGGCATTTAAAATGCAGAGATGTATGAATTTTGCAGATTTTTTTCTGCTTTTCTAGGAGCGTTTAATGATAATTACAAGTCACACTTCTGATGAAGCCTTATTTCCAACTTAAGTTCAACATGCAGGATTTCATAGTGTTGACCCTAACATAATTTTAGCTTCAAATAATCATACACAGTGAGAAGAATGGGAAGAGTCGCATAGACAAAAATGTCTGTGCTTTCAGTGAGCACAAAAAATTACAAGCCCTCAAACAGCACTGGACAAAACTGCCTTCCGCATCTTGTTGCAGCATGTAGAAGCATTCTCACAATTTAAAAAATACTGGTAATTTATAGTGCAGACCTCTCAATTAAATACAGACACACTGTAAGGTGGTGTCAGAAGAGCACAGACGGCACGGTGGCGTGTTCCTGGACAGGATTTCTCCTCCTGCCCCGGGTGCTTGGGACACAGTGCCCAGCAGCTCACACACGTGCAGAGCAGCTCTGTCCCTGCCAAGTCCCTGCCAGGCCAGAGCGATTACTGGGACTGTGACAGCAGCACTGCAGAGAAGCAAAGGCCACACGAGTGGACCGCATGCTCAGTACAGGCATTTTGGAAAACCTGGGAGGACTATAATGAAATTATTATTATTGTTGTTGTTGTTGTTGTTGTTGTTATACCACATTATAATTAATTCTTAATTAGATAATTATAATTAATTTAATATAATAAATTATAATTAATAATAATAATAAAAAAAGGACCAACCCCTCACATCAGAAATCTGCACTCCAGGGTAGGCACACTATCTGCTACACACATTTACAACTCTCCTAACCACCCTCCCAAAAAACAGTCATGAGCACATTTTGTACACAAAAATCAGTGTTGAAATTTGGGGGTGTCAATCCTCCACACAAGAACATTGCCAATTTGAAAAGGAAAATATGGGAAAAAATCTCCTCTCCAACGTTTAGTACTAGTTCAAAACCAGAATCTCAGGTGCTAGTGGCACTGGATGGAGATGTTCTCTTCCATAGGAAAGGCTGAAACTCCACCTAGCGCATACAAGAGGCATTGCTCAAGTTCAGTTCAAATCAACTTCTCATTGCTGAAAAGAATGCACTAAACATACCTGACATTTTCACATTACCCCTTATATCCATTTTTTCGAATAAAAATTTCCTTTTTTTTTTAATATACAACGCTGAAAAAATTTGGATTAGACAGATTAACCTTAAACCTTCCATCTGCTTTCCATTCTCAAAGGTTAGTTCTACATAGTGAACTAATAACTCAACTCATTTTTGATTTCTTCACTATTTTTTGGCAATATTATTCATAATATGCTCCCACTTCTAACACTGCCCAGCAGCTTTCATCACATATTATTAGCACTTATTATTACATGGGCCCATAAAACAAATTCTGTAAAACCTACAGTAATAAGTCATTTCACATCTACATATCAGAAATAAATAATGCACAAAGAATCACTTCCTTGTATTGTCCTAAAAAAGATACTAAAATTTTTTGTTCTTTGATAAAATTCTTCAAAACATATTTGACATACCACTTTAACTTCAAGAAATGGAAAATATATTTATCAAGAAATTATATCTGCAGATATTTCAAGTGAAAACTAAACATAATAAAAGGATATAGTATGACATTGATCTCAGTATTTTCAGAAGGATTATGTGAAAAGACAGCTACCTTAAAAAACACCATTCACTGTTCCTGTAAGTACAGCTATAGATGGTCTAACACTAAATCCTGAGAAAAAAATGGAAACCTTACTTAAGATGAGATTAAAAGGCTCAGTATATTTGATTATGCATAAGCTTGAGTTTGATATCTTTGACAATACAACCTAAGAAATAATTACACCAAATCCTTATCTGCCTTTAGAACATTGCTTCAAATTAGTGTGCTGAGGTGAAAAATTGTAGTGCAAGGCTGGCATAGTATTTCACCAAATCTATTAGAGTTCATCTGCTTGGCAGAAGTATCTGATATATATTAGCATTATATTAACTGCTGCACTTGCTGCTGGTAGTCCTAAGCAAATTTTTTTTTTGGGTTGTTTTTTTTTTTGGGTTTTTTTTTTTTTTTTTTTTTTGTTTTTTTTTTTGTTTTTTTTTTTTTTTTTTTTGTTTTTTGTTTTTTGGTTCTCATATTTCAGGATACAATTCTTTAAAAATTATGCAAGGTAACAAGACTACAGCACTGAAAGGAAGAAGGACACAAAAGGAAGAGTAGGAAAACTACTTGGGTCATCAAGGTAATTAATCATGATTACAAACACATTACTACTAGTCTTTTTTTTTTCCCTAATTTGTCACTGCTACAAAACTTCATTACATCAGGGAGCAGTGCAATGTTTGAAGCCACCCTGTACTAAGGAAGTTTCTTCAGGAATGTAGTATATCTCTCCATTAGCCGCTATGTTGATGACAGGTTCCCAGAATCATTAAGGTTGGAAGGAACCTCTGGAGATCATGCAGCCCCAACCCCTCTGCCAAGGCAGGGTCATCCGGAGCAGGTGACACAGGAACGTGTCCAGGTGGGTTTGGAATGTCTCCAGAGAGGGAACGACATCCCTGGGCAACCCGTTCCAGTGCTCTGCCACCCTCAATGTTAATAAGCTCTTCCTCATG